CTGTTTTTGTAATTTTTCTAAGCACCAGCGGGCTAAGGGGGTCAGCTTGGGCTGGGATGGAGTTTGAGTTTGGGTGGGTTGAAGTCTGCATGCATAATGCATGTGTAAACGCATAAAAGGATATTGATCTGCCCCCAGCCAACAAAGCGACCGCTATGCATCAGCCTGGGGTTTTTTTCTGGAAGGTGGGGCTTTGGGGGTTTCGGTTGGGGCATACCATCAGCCGCAAAACTTTTTTTCGCTGTGAGAAGGAGTTGGCTAAGACAGCGAGAGTGCTGCAGGCCTCGAAAATTGCGTTCGCATTTCTGTATAATTTTTCCCCCTTCGGTTCACGAATGTATGGTTTATATAATGGGTATATATACATATATACATATGTACGACTGCGTGTTGTGGGGTTTGAGTTTTGTATATATACTTCGGCCATTATATGCACTTCTGCGGCACAACTTACGCACTTTTCGTTGTGCGTTTTTGTTTTTGTGCTCGCATGCGTCACACGTCCTGCGTGAGGAAGGTGCCCCCGCCGCTCCTTCCGCCACCCAGTTTGTGAGTTTATGCTGCTTATGCAATATTTATAATTATAATCATATTTTCCATTCCCATTGCCGCACAATGCTTATAACTCTAGCGACTCACTCTGCCGCACTGCTGCACCGTGCAGCTCAGCCTTAAATTGCATTTCAAAGATTCCCATTCCCATTTCCATTTCCATTCCCACTCCCAAGAAGTCCTTCTTCCCAACTCTGCCTTCCTCTTTTTTTTGTTTCTATGAGCTACTCGCCTTGGGGCACTTCCTGCCGGCCGAAAAGTAAAATTCATTTCCCCAACGCGGCACAAAGCTGTGTCACTCAGGGCCAAAACGAAAAATGTTTCTGGCCCCAAAACAAACCGAAAAATGCAAACGGGGAAAAATCTCGAAAAAAGACAGAGAACTTTGCATTTATAATTAAGCAAAAAATAAGGGACGGCAGCAGCATTGAATGGCTTTCGGATCCCTGAGGCAGATATCAAGATTTTCAGTGGGAGATAACTTTGTCAAGGGACCAGCAAATCTATTTAACCAAAATGGCTATCAAAGGCTGGAAATTAATTGTAGCTGCAGTACAAAAAGAGCATTTAATATGTGTATAGAAATGATATACAAAGAAAACATGTTATGCTAGTTCCCTAAACGAATCTCATTAAAAGGAGTACCGAAATCCATTTATTCATGTGTGGTTCCTTTTTCCCTTTTGGGTTTTTTTAAGCGAAAGGCGGCTTGTTGTTTGAAATTTTAGCGTGTGACGAATTCTGGAATTATTTGTTTCGGCTTGCTGTGCCGTAAATTTCAACGCTTTTCGTGTTGGCCGTCTTTTGGGACCCGTGCATATTTGACAAGAGCTTAGCCAGGCTAAGCTGAACCGCGGCTAAATGCAACAAAATAAAAAAATAAAAAAAAGGCGAAAAACAATGTTAACCTTTTCTATGCAGCCACAACATCGAAACGGCCAACGACAAATTTATGATAATTTCAAACGAAAAAATTCCGCTGATGTTGCCGTCGTGGCCGAGACCATAGAATGACATTAGTACATCGTCCATTATTGCCTCGAAACATGCTCTTTTGTTGTTTTGGTCGAAACATTTTCATGGCCCGTAGGCGCCACGCCCCCTCCTTGTACACATCCTGCGCCAACCACCGCCCACCGCGCCCCCTCCGCCCAACAAAACTGCCTTTTGCTGTCACGGCCTTTTGTTGGAAAGTTATAACCGCCGGCGAATTGTAAATTATATTTAATTAAGGCTGCATTTCGAATACAAAACGTGGCTCAACTTCTTTTCATCCGTTTTAAAAAACCAAAACCGTCAACGGCAGCAGCGCCAAAAGGAAACATTCAATTGCATTTTTAATTAGGCGCTTGTCTCGGTCCTTCGCTCATCCCTTTTATGCTGATTACGGCCAATTGCAATTGGCTTTTTCGAATATTCATATGTGCCAACGGACAGATATATGGACATCGCCCGATTTGTTAATGGCCAGGCTTTGCATGACTTCGCCAGTTGTCCCTTGTCACGCAAAGCGTTTAAAAACACCACGGTATCCACAAATTTTGTGTATGCATCTGGGCTTAAATTTGTAATTAGGTTAAATGCTAAATGAACTTAACAGGCCATGTGAACGTGAAACTAAACACAGATTATTGTTTGGGAATTTCCTTGTAGATGTTAATGATCGAATCATTTATTACGACTATCCTTTGCAGTGCATTCATAACTCAAAGCCAACTCACATATGTTTTCTGGGTTTTATTGTTCGTTGCAATTGGTAGTCGTAATTTTTTGACTGCCGCTGCTGCGCAGGCTGGTAGAGTTCTTTTGGCCAGGCAAATTGGATTTATTTAGCCCATGTTTTGCCAATTCACATATGTATTGGCCAACGGGCAACAGCTGCTCCTATTGGCCAACTTAGGTGGAGGCAGTTGGCAAGAAGGTGCGTGTGTGTGTCGATGTGCGACAGCAAATGAAATAAAACCAAAACCGCAACACACAAAAAGTGGTTCTCTATATATTTTTCTAAAATCAAAATGTCCACTTTTTGCTCATCAACGCCGCTGCCTGTTGTTCTTGTTGCCGTTGTTAAGCTGCCTTTCTGGCTTTCTGGCTTTCTGACTTGGTCTTTGGCCAAAGTTGTCGCCAGGCTCTTTTTTTGTCATTCCGCTGGCCAGTTGCAGCAATGTCATTAACTTGGCCGCTGACATGGCAACATGATGCGCGATTTGAGCTTTAATGTTCATTCAGTTCTAGGTACCCGCTGCACTGCAAATAAATGATGGTTTTTACGAGTATCTTTATAACGAAGTAACATGATATGGGAGATATATGATATGAGAGGCATTGCGATAAGCGACCTCTAATCTTTAAAAAGGAGTACAACATAATTCATCCTTAATTAAAAGACAGTTAAAACAAAGAGTTTTGTTAATCACAAACTGTTTTAGGTCTTAAATCTTTCCAATTAACGATTACCAAGTTATTTTTGGTTGAAATCTAAGCATAAGTTGTATTGCTTTCGAGGTATATTTATATCAATTATACAAACCTATTTGGCTATTTTTCTGCGAGTGCATTGTCAATTGCGCTTGTGGCGCTGCAGTTGCTTCTAATTTTTACGAAAGTACAAAAAGTGCGTGTGCAATTATAAAGTGCATTTCATTGCTGGCCTTCCTGGAGGATCGGCTGCAATCCATTTCGTGGCCCAACCCATCCGATCGCAGTTTCGCTGATGCAATGACTTTGATTTCGTGTCGCCAAATTGTTGAGTGGCTGCTGCAAAGGAAGAGGTTCATTAAAAAAGTATTTCAGCGCTGATTTTGCCACACATTTTTTGATTGCCCGCTGGCCGGCCACTGGCCAACTGGCAGCTCCTTCTTTCTTGGCCATGGCCAGTGAATCGATCGGAACGAGTTGCTGGGCCCAAAGCAGCGCGAAAAGCTGCTCTTCATCATCCCTGTCCCCATCAACAACATCAACTACGCGTACAACATCATCATCATTATCATCATCAGCAGCAGGCGGAGTGATTACACTTGGTACATTCGAGATTTGTGGTTTTTCGAACTTGGGAAGGAAATATTCCTTGCGGACGATGGCGTATTCTCAGCTGCATCGAGTGGATACCGCCAGTGATTGACACTCAGGAAATGTCAGGGAATTTGATTGGCTTTTATGATCGGCCGCTTAAGGTATTAGACAAAAAGAGCATTTGCATATTTTTGCCGCTGTCTCGGCGAATAATTAGAATTCATAGACATGTGTCGCGGCCGGACGAAACGAACGAAACGAACGAAACTCCCTGAAATGCGGCAGTTATAGTCGAATGCATTCGGCCCAAAGGTTCATTGACGTGTCCCACAGCGGAGGACAGAACAGGAATCAAAGCGAAATGCGCCAAAAATAGCTTAAATACAGCACACAAAAACCAGTTACCACGAAATGCCAGCAGTTGGGGCCTAGGAGCAACAGAGATGCAAAGCGTTCGAATGAGACAAAAACGGCTGGCAAATTTTCATAATTTTTGCATTTTTATTGACGGTTTCTACAAAAAGTGAACAAAGTAGCCACCTCTGGACTGTCATTTACCGCGGAAATTAAGAGAATAGAATATGCTCTCTAGATTCTGCAAGCTATTAAATGTTATTACTCGGTAAGTAACTAGCTTTCATCACTCCTTGATTACGAACGTTTCGTACTTTCGTACATCCTCGGCTTCCTTATATGCAAATTTCCACTTCTGTGTGGTCTTGGCTAATTACCTGCCCGCCAGATGGGCCATCGAAAGTGCATGTGATCTTGGCTGGCACACATTGCCATCCCCCCATTCTCGATTTCATTGATGCGATCGCCAAGTGGCGGCGGCGGCGGCGGCGGCGCTCCTCATCTCATCCATTCATGCTGGCTGCCGGCGGATCCTGAGCAGCATTTGGCTACTTCAGGTGCCTGTGCTCGGTGGCCATAATGCTGCCTCTGTTTGGGACACACCTTCCGAAACGCCACGCTAATCACGAGCAGTTGGCGAAGCGCCGCCAGCAACAACAGCAACAGCGGCAACAGGGGCAACAGCAGCAACAATGGCAGCAGAAGCAGCAAGAGCAGCGAAAGGAGCAGCAGCAGCGCGTGGATAAATCAAAGTGCAGTTGCTAGACGTGAGCTGAGCCGCCTTCTATCCACGACTCCACTGGCGCGGCATCATCCAGCTCCATGCTCCTTGCCGCATGCTTCTGCCTCCTCGCGGATTGCGTCTGCATAATCCACGGCTAAAGAAAGTGGCCCACATGGGAGCTACACTTGGAGAAGTTCATCAGCACCATCAGCATTCCAAAATATTTTAGGTTTTTTAGAGAGTTTGAATTTTAAAGCGAGTGCAAAAACAAATGAAACAGTAAGTGCTCTATAAATGTACATATTAAGATACATATGCATACATACCTATAAGATACATTTTCGAATGATTTCCGCAGTGCACGGCTTGGCAGATCTTTGGCTCAATGGATGCTCATCGCGGCCTGGCTAAAGCGTTGTAGCTGTACACCGGCTGATCCTCATCCTCATCCTCAACTGCAGCCTCATCCCCACACCGCCATGGCCAAGACAAATGCAGACGATGGCTCTTTAGCCGTATCTTTCACTTTGATTGTGGCTGGGAGTCAGCGTCTGCGACTGAGACTGTGGCTCGTGTGGGGCTCGTGGGGCTCGTGGGGCTCTAGGATGGGTGGTGCTGTGGTGCCGGCAGTCGTTAGCCTTGTCTTATTGCCCGTGTTGGCCAAACACTTGGCTACTGGTTGTTTACATATGTACGGGAACGGGAACGGGAATGGGAATGGGAATTGGAAAGACTGCACTGACTGGTACGCGTATAACTCAATCAGCCAGAAGAGGTGGAGCCATGGGAGTCGCCAAGTGTGTGGGTCAGGTGACCTGCAACAAATTAGCCTGGGAGTTATGAACCTCAGCAGCGGAATGCACTCTGTTATCTGCTAAGCACACACAAAACAAGATGGACTGGACTGCACGGGACTGGCCCACAAGTATGGTCAAGTTCTAATGAAAACCTAATTACAAAATCAGCCAATACTCTCCAGAGCCGCACATAATTAAGGCGCACACTTGACTTGGCTTGGCTACTCCTCCTCCTCCTCCGCCCAATTGTCGCCGTCTCCAATTTCCAGCGCTTTTCCCCTCCCCGTGCGCTGAAAAACGCATTTAAAAGCCCACATTAATGACGCGGACTCGATGCGAAGACCACTTTGGTAAAATAGGAAATTGCTGCGTTCGGCTGCTCTCCAGATTCTGGTCTATCTGTTTTCCTTTTTGTTTTTGTATCTTACTTTTTTTGTTGTCCCCATCTGCAGATAGCGACACAAAAACGGTTGCATCCATGCCAAAGTCGAGCTCGCTGCTGTGTTTGCGAGCGTTTTCAGCGCATTTTTAGTTAATTTACCAGGAAAAACATTTGAAATTCTTAAAAAAGTCGCAACAAGAAGTTGGCTGCTGCTTGGCGGCTGGAAAAAGTCACATCACAACGTTGTCTACACAACGCCTTGCTGGATTGCTCTTTTCAGATGTTGGCCATAACAGCTAGTCTGAGATACATGGTATTTTTGGAACAATGTTTGCCAGAGCCTAAAAGATACAGACAAAAGATACCTACTCAATTGATATTTTCCCAGTTCAAATTAGATAGTTTTATTTGATATATCATAATTTTCTATAGAATTGATTTAAATGTGGAAAGAAGGAAACGTAATGTAAGTAACTCTTAAAGAATCTTTTGTTTCTTCAATTTTTAATCGAAATGGAAAGGGTATCCCCTGACCTCCTAGCTAAAATCTTTTCCGCAGTTTGTTTGGCTAGTTTGTTCTAAAGTTGCTGTTGTTCCTTCGGTTTTTCATTTTGTCGCCACCGCCGTTGCTGCATAGACTAAAAATCGCATTCGATCATTTATGGGATTTTATTTGGCGCGTCAGTGAATGTTGCTAAGCAATTTATTTATGACATTTTTTGCTGGCCAGCTTGGGTTTGGTTCGGTTAGCTGGATGTGGATGTGGCTCTCCAATGGATTCGTGCAGCAATTTCTGCAACGCAACGAAATAGTTGCAAAGGCACAACACAGCACAACGCAACAGTCAAAGTCAAAGTCAAGTTGCAAGTTCCATATTCATCAGATGCGACACTCTTCATTCTTGGTGTTTTGCCGTCTGCTAGCTTGATTCTTTGGCCTGTCTTGGGGTTTTTTCGTCTGCTACTTTTTCTATCGAAAAGCAAACTGGATTTCGTCTTAAATGCTTCACCACCAGTTGCAGTTGCAGTTGCTGTTGATTTTGCCATTGCATTTTAATTAAGTGCATTTTAATGAGGCATCATCGCCGGCCGCCAATGCGACTTTTGTACATCATCAATTACACAAACGCATTTTAAATGGGCTGCCAACTATGTTTGCTGGGAACTATGTGGCTGCGATTCATTTTTCCGATTCAGTTTTCAGCTCTGCCCCCCGTTTTGTTTCGCTTTTTTATTCAGGTAATTATTAAGCTTATTTAGATTAGTCTCCGCTCTTGTGGCTTCGGGCTGTCTATTGCGGTTGCTGCCTCCATGAAATTGATGCGAAAAAAATCTACTAAAACTGTTTGTTTAATTCGATTTGTGTCAGCCGGCGCCCAGTGAGGATGTCCTGTTTGCATCGTCCTGTTTGCTAATGCAAGTGGGGAGTCCTAGTTTGTTTTACTCGGCTGGCTGGCATGGGAAAATAATGGTTGAGTTCGCACTGTACATTAGCCTCACTCAAAATATTTAAGCTGCAATGTTCCAAGTTCCAACTAATAATAAATGTTTTTGAATATAATTTGGAATCCTGACAATATAAGAGCTTGATAGCACACTTTTTATGGAAGTAACCTAAAAACGGGGGGAATTAAGTTGTTTTATTTTGTTCGAAGTTGTCAAAAATTTTTTAAAATTATTTTACATATGAAATACATTTTCCTTGAAGTGCAGGGGTAATTTCAGTCCAGCAAGCCGAACTTTTTAGATTTTCCTTGCCTATTTATTCACCTGCCCTATCTGCACATCAAACTCATCCCCTGCGTTTTAGCCCCTTCGACCTGTTCAAAAACTTTTTCCATTTTTTCAAATTGCGTAATTTTCATTAGTTTGCTGCATTTGCAGACAAATTAAGAGCTTCTGCTGCTGCTGCTGCTGCTGCTGTCCTGCCCAGGACCCTTCACATGTCCTTGCCCACCAAAGTGCGTATCTGTGAGATACGCATATGCAAATAGCTGCCAGCAGGACCACCCCGATGCGATGCGGTTTTTCAATTTCTCTCTCGGCTTCATTTTTTTTTGCAGCCTTTTTGTACGCAAATAATTGTGAATTTTTCCCTCATCCATTTTTGTTGGCCTGCTGCAGCAGGTTATTGTTTGGTTTGGCTGCGAATCCTGTGCGTTTTTTATTTTCTATGCCTGAGTGTACATATTTTTTATTTTTAATTAAAAGCGGAAGTAAAAGCTGGGGGGCATGGCCGTGTGCGGGGCTTCTGGTTAGGATTGGTTTCGGTTTTGTTCGGTTCGGTTCGGTTCAGTTTGGTTTGGTTTGGTTTGGCGACTTGTCAAGTGTGTGCGTGTGGGTGCGTTTGCCGGGCACTTTGGCCCGTTCATTTCGCAGTGTAGTGTTTTGCTAACAATGCAAATTTCAGGCATTGTTGCAGCCCCTTAAAACCCCCCTCTCTCTCTCCCGCCGGCACTCGACGACACACACATAGAAAACGCATCAAATCATCAGCGGCGATTTCAGACAGTCATCCGATGAAATGTCAAATGCGTTTCCCGCTCCAAACGGCCAAGTGGGCGAATGTAAACAGATACTGGAACGGCTACTGGTAATGGCAACTGGTAGCTGCCGCCGCTTAGAGCGGCACAAACTAAACCAAACTCAACAACAATAAAAACATGGCTACAATTCAGCAGCTGAAGAGTTTTTCAAATAACGACAAAAAAAAAACGACCAGAATCCAGCTAAAAAAAAAGAGGGGGCAGTGGCAGCAGAAAAAGGGAAAAAGTCATGTGAAAAAAGAGTCGAGAAAATTAAAACAAAACAAACAGCTAACGCATCCTCAGCGTCATCAAGCCATATTGCACAGGGAAAATAAGTGATCTGCTTTGAATATAGATGCATTTTCAAACAATTAATTAATTGGAAAGTATATTTATTCAGTTCTTGTAACATTAACAAGAACATTAGCAAGAAGTGAGGCTCACAAGTTAGTAGGAATGCTTTTCTGGCATTATCCCTTTTTTAAATACTTGTGGTAACCTTGGGTGATATTTTTCGATCCCATTAAGAAATGGGATCGCGTTCTTGCAACATGGCCTTTGCAGCAGTGTAGTCCTGGATCCTGCAGCATCCTTTGGCCGTTATGCCCTGCTTTGCCTGCTCTGTTCCACGCATGAAGAGATTTCGGTTTAGCTTTTGATTGACGAACTTGCCTCGTTGTTTGCCCCTCTTCCTGCCGCCCCCCCACCCACATCCTGCCACACGCTGCCGCATTTCACTCAAACTCATCAACGTCAGCGACGCATTCAAATCGTTTTGATGGACTTCTCCCCCAGCCCCGCCAACTTCCCTAACCCATATACCGATATCAAGCTCACGCAGTGCATCCTGGCCCAAGAACAAAACAGCATCGAAAACAAAAAAAAAATGGTAAAAAGAATGGGGTGAGATGAGGAAAAAATGGTTGGAATGAGTCTGGCACAATATTTGTATTTTACGCAATTTTTACTGACGACTGCCATCATGTCTGAGTGACTGAGTTGGCTCCGTTTTCTGCTGCCTGATTTGCAAACCGATTTGCTACATTGTTCATGTCAGTCAGCGCATTGTTGATTATCAGATGCCGGGTGGTTATGGGTTCGACTTCATCTGGTTTGGGGCGAGGAACTAAGCCCCATGTTTGCCCAGCTATTCATTGTGATTCGGTTTTTTTCCACTTGGTTTTATGATTTTTTGCTGATTGAAAGTTTGTGCGACAATTGTTGCGGTAATAGGAAATGGTGCAGAGTCTAATTAAACAAAATGCATGCATGGCATAAATGGTGTGGAAGGAATTCTTACAATATTTACTTAACAATCACGGGACTTACAACTTATTTGCAATATATGAATTCGCCTTTCAGTGCTGTAATATTACGTATACGCATCGTTTCTCCTGCCATTTAATCCACTTAGGAATAGTTGAGGCTCTAAAACTGACAACAATTCTGCTTACTGGCTTAATTAGCTTCCAAGCCCCGTAAATAGCTGAACAATTTCCAGTGCAACGCCTTTTCACACTTAATCTGCCATAAAATATGCCAGAAACAACAGCCTCCAGCACTCTTTCAAAATTAAATTAGCCAGTTGAAAGTTGGCCAGCTTGTGGCAGTGGCAAGGATTCTGCGGGGAATACAAATGAACCCCTTCAGCTCGCCATAAACTGTTGCCAAAAAGTTTTAAGCTGCATTTGAGGCTTGTTTTCACACCCGAACAAGTTTGGCAAGCAAAGTTTCGAGTGGCGCTTGTCTTGTTTCATCATCTCATGGCCATAATCCGTGACGTCAACTGCGGTTAGCAGGATTCGCCATGTAAATGAGACAGACAAGCCGCAAAGTTTGGCACATTGTGCATCTGATATTTTGGCCACTTTTGATGTAAACTATTACCAAACTTGTTGCTCTCGCCAACTTGTTGCATAGTGTGAAACGATGTGCGAAATTCCCGAGCTCGTTATTCCGCTCATGTCCTTGTGGTTGTTTTTGGCCAACATCCTGCTGGTACTTCCGCATTTGAATGTGTTTTGGTAATTGAAAACCCATTTGGGGTCGTTTAGAGTCACTGAGGTCCAATTAGTTAGAGGGCTATTCAGGATATTAAGCCGATAGGGCAGTTCACTAACATTCAGTGAGATGCTTTCGGGATGGCAACTTCATATATTTTGGGACACTTTTTGTACTGTTTGTGAGTGGATATAAGCTAATCAGCCCAGAATAATTCGATGTACTTTAAAATCCAAAACGAAGCGAGTCAAATCGCTGCGTTAAAGCTGTTTATGGTTTATAAGAAAATATTTTAGTTTCTCTCTTCATATTGACCAGCAATAAAGACTCATTGTACTATTTACTAGTTTAGGAAGTCAATGTTTCGCTTAATGATTCTGCATTAAATAGGAAGCACAGTGATCTAATTGCATTCAAAATTGGGGATATATTAGGCAGACTTGAGGTTGCAACAAGTGCACCACTAAAAATTATAGTTTGTTTTGAGTTTGAGATACAAAAGTGGAATGAGCTAAGTGGAATGGTGAAAAATAACGACGAATTTGCTGTTACTTTACCTAAATACTTACACTTGTTGAGTGTTATTTCGTTAAATGAAACAAAGGATCTTATTTTTATATTACAACTCCATGAAAGCTTCAGAGCATAATACGATTAGTAATTATTTACACAATATAACAGGTGGCGAAGCTAATAAGATAACTTGGTTTTGCAATTACGCCATGCGGAGTGAGGAAATGCATATCATCATCGGTCTTAAAATAAAATGGCTTGGCATTTCCGGTTACCGTGTTATACGTGCATTATCCTTAGCCTGCTGATGCAGGAAGGTCATTCAAGGAAGAGGAACGACGACGAAGTGGAACCTCTGTACTCAAAAGCGGTCAATGTTCACGTTGGGCTCGGCAACAATTTGGAAACAAGTCTAGCTGAACCTGCCATGGGAAAGTTGGTGCAGTTTTTGAACACCTACTGCGGAAACTGCCGCAGATTCGCACCCACGTTTAAGAAAATGGCTGTTGAGCTGCAGAAGTGGAGCCGTGTACTCCGGATATATGCTGTTGACTGTGCCCATTGGGACAATGTGAAGTTGTGTCGGGATTTTCGCATTAGGTTCACGCCTACACTGCGCTACTTTCCCTCCAAATTTCAGAGATCGGGTGGAGAAACTGGCACAGAAATTGACTCAAAAATTCCGAGGGAAATTGAGAAGCAGCTCATTGAAAGTCTGTCCCAAAATGACTACAGTGGCAGCAAAGGCGTGAAGCCCAACTTCGACCCCATAGAGCCGGATGACAATCTGCAAGAAGTCTACGCCCAGTTCGACAACCAGGTGACGTACATTTTGCTGGTCCATCCAGCCGAGATTGGAACAGAAACCATACTCCACATGCTGCCCTTTCCGGATGTGGGCGTGCGCATCATCAAGGATGCCCAAATGTTCGCCAACTTCGGACTGCAGCCTTGCAGGCAGAAGTTGGCCCTTTTGAATAGAGCTGGAGCAGTCCAACCACTCCGGAATGTCGGTCAAAGTAGCGCTGCTTACGTGCACAGCGTGGCTGGGTTCCTGCAGCAAAATGGGCACACAAGAGTGCCCACATTGCCAACAACACCAGCTCCAGAAAATAACCTTTCGCAAGGATACGACGCTTTCATTGTGGACTATGTGCTGAGCTCAAAGAAGGTGCTCTTCCAGGCGGACTTGGAGCAGGCCATCTACCAGTTCCTGCACGTTGAGATACCAAGGACGCCATTCATAAGTGGCTACAGGTTTAAGGCACTGCGTCATATCATCCGCCTGTTCCGACGCTTCAATGTGCTGAGCCAAGACGGTAGGCGAATGCTGAACAGCCTGGTGAAGCACCTATTCGAGGTCGACGAAATCACCGGAGAGGAGTTCCGCCATGTGCTGGATGATCTGCAAACACGGTTGGAGCCCATCTTTGGGGATCGACAATATGTCGGCTGCCTGGGCTCCACGCTACATACGCGACGCTTCAGCTGCTCCTTGTGGACACTGTTCCACTACTTGACCGTGCTGGCGGCCCAGAGGAAGGTGTATCCGCCCAGCTCCGTGGCAATTGGCCTTTACGGACTTGCGAAGTACTTCTACGGCTGCGCGGATGGTTCCAAGCACTTCATGGAGATGGCGAAGCGGCGGAAGATCGCGCAGGTGACCTCCCATGACGAGGAGATCCTGTGGCTGTGGGAGGCCCACAACGAGGTCAATGAACGACTAGCTGGGGACTCCGCGGAGGATCCGCGCTTTCCCAAAGTCCAGTTTCCGGAGCGGAAGCATTGCCCGGACTGCTACGGCTCAGACTCAGACTCGGATGAATTTGATAGAGATGAGGTGCTGAGATACCTAAAACGCGTGTATGATTTGGATTATCTAAGCTTGGAACGTTTGCCAGGCGGTGCACGACGAGATACAAATGCAAATGAACATAAAAGTCGATGAGAAATACTGTAAATGCAATGCAAGTAAGAAAGATATTTTTTGATTTGCTGCTCCTGTACCCATGTTACCTTGAATCGATTTCCGAAGCATACACACACTTTTAATATATATATGAAATTCGTGAATTCTTTTGGGTGTGCCTGGATAGAATAGCGCGCCACAAAATTAAGAAAACCTGTTTTGAGAGTGAGATACGGGATCCGGGGCATGGTGGGGGAGACTTAACAACCGGAGCAGGGCGAATCCAAATGTGGCTATAATTACCAAAGAGCCCTTGCTATTGAATCAGTTGAAGTGGCTCATTTGACTTGTGAGCACAGTGTCGAAATGATTCGGTTACTCAAAGCGCTTCTATATGGCCTGCTCCTCGTCTCCCCATCCGAATTGCTGGCCCGGCCAAATGACAGAAAGTCGGCGAACGAGGCGAGTCTCTACAGCGACACGGACAATGTGATTATGCTGGACATCGAATCGCTGAGGCCGGCTCTCAGCTTGAGGAACAGCAGCAAGCTGGTCCAGTTCCTCAACAGCTTCTGCGGCGATTGCCATCGCTTCGCACCGATCTTCAAGACCCTCGCCCGCGACCTCTACAAGTGGCGGAGAGTTCTCCGGATCTATGCCGTGGATTGCGCCCAGGAGCGGAATGCCCAACTCTGCAGGGAGTTCAACATCCGCCAGACGCCGTCATTGCGTTTCATTGGACCCGACATGAGCAAGAACGACGATGTTCTTGGTGCTGTAATCCCAGGCCAAGATCCCAAGTTTATACGCACAACACTGGCCGAATTGGTATCCCAACATGACTACGGACTCCAGCCAAACTTTCGTCCCCTAGAACCAAATGGCACGGGCATTTTCCTCGATCTTCAAGATGAGCAAAGTGCGGTGCAGTTCGTGGCACTTGTCCTCCAGCCACCAAATTCCAAGATCGGCAGGGATACGCTGCTAGAACTGCTGCCATTCCAAATGCTGTCGGTGAGGATCATCGAAAACTCCCAGATATTTGCCCAATTCGGACTGAATCCCTCCGAGCAAAAGCTGGCCATAATTGATAGAAATGGAACCGCCCAGTATCTGGCACCTGCGTCGGATTCCAGTGAAGCCTATGCAAGCACGGTTGGCGATTTCCTGAGCAACCTCCATTTCCGGCCAGATCCACCACTACCCATCGCTGCAGCGCCCAACTTCACAGAGTTCCTGGATCAACAACATCAAGCCATCCTTGCTAAAGTCCTGGCGCCACCACTGAAGGTCTATCGCGCCGACTTGGAGCAGGCAATCGACAAGCTCCTGCACATTGAGCTGCGTAAATGGCTCCTGCTGGAGGGCAATAGCCTGAATGCCCTTAAGAACATTATCAAGATTTTCAGATACCTCAATCCATTGAACAAGGACGGTAAGCTATTGCTGACGGATCTGGACAAGTCGTTGAGCTCTAAGCAGAGTGTAAAGGGAGCTGACTTTGGCGACTTGGTTGATTCCCTAGAGAAGGATCGTAGGGTATTCAAGGCGCGGCGATACATTGGCTGCATCGGATCACGTCCGCTTCTGCGCAGCTTCACCTGCTCCATGTGGACACTGTTTCACCACTTGACCGTGGAGGCAGCTAAGCCACCCAATTACTTCCAGGCGGGCTCAGTGCTGAAAACCTTTCATGGCTTCGCCAAGTACTTCTTCGGCTGCACAGATTGCTCGGAGCACTTTCAGCAGATGGCCATACGGCGCAACCTGACCTCGGTGAGCACTTATGACGAGGAGATCCTCTGGCTGTGGGCAGCCCACAACGAAGTCAACCAACGCATTGCTGGAGACTCCACGGAGGATCCCAAGTTCCCGAAGACTCAGTTCCCCAGCGCGCAGAATTGCCCCTCCTGTCGGTCAAATGACTCGGAGTGGCGAACAGATGAGGTTCTTAAGTACTTGAAGCAGCTCTACGACATCAAGAATGTTAGCTTCTATGGCCTGCCCACTCCACAGGGATACGATTAGGGACTTATTGAACAAATGAAGCCCAAACCTTAAATATGAATACAATCCAGCCATCACTTTACGAAATAAATATAATATAAATAACACAAATCTAGCTTATTTACAATGTATTTTATTTGAAATGTATTAAGTCAAAAACCTCTTATGTCCGCTACCCTTTGAAAACTGCATATACGGAAATGCGCTTTTGACCCTCGCATAGTGACATGAAAATTGCATAAATTTGCTAAATTAAGCGTTTAGATTAAATGAGGCGACAATGCGGGTGTGTGTGTGTGTGTCTCCAGCCGAAGGACCTTTTAGGTCCTTTAGCTCCTGGCAGGGGTCCAAGTCAACTCGTATTACGCCGATTACGCGCACATCAAGCCGAACTGTACATGAATTATTTATAGAACATTTTTGCAAAATATCTACGCACTAATTTGCGTAAAGTAATCGATGTGGTGGAAAAATTTTCACGCATGCACACCTGAGGGGAGTCCACCAGTCCACCAGTTCACCAGTCCACCTGACAAATGGACTGACTTATTTGGAGTGGGCTGCAGTGGGTGGTGTCCGTTCAGTCATGCCCAAATAAGCAACAGCAAACGGAAGCTAAAAATTACCAGGAGAACCCCACGGCAATCCCCACCGCCCATGGAGCCCGCAAACGGTGGAACGCCCACAAAACTTTCTTCATTGTGCGTAAATTGGCGCCCCGCAAAACAAGCAACCCCACCGCATAAAAAGAGTTAACGCAGTCAGCCACTTCGGGCCAACGTAATGATGTGTATGTAAAATTTATAATATACATAAATAAATAAAATGCACGCAGTTTGGGTTTTGTGGGCGGTTGGCGAGTGCAGTTTATCGATATTTTTCACTCACCCATCGATGATGAGGGTGGCGGAAAAGCGGAAAAGCGGAAAATCCTTGAGTGGGTGGCACAAAACCACGTATAGCCGTGCCGGGCGCAACTGTACTTTTGCTCGATTTTTGTGCGTGCATCCAGGAAATTGAAGGTTCCGCGACTTGTACTTCACGTGGCCCTTGCGAGGCCGTAGGCCGTAAATTTTCGTCCATATCTCGGCACCGGAAACCGGAAACCAGCGCCCATTTGTGCGAATAGCACTGCCATTCCATCCATCTTTTGGTTTAGGGCCAAAATCGCAGCGTAAAGTGCGTAAAATATGTACAAAATGTATGGCGGCCGCTAATGGAAAACGGATATTGTGGCTTTTGTCTTCATGCAGCTAAGATCCTTGGGCAAGCCAACTCAAAAACGGGAAGTGCTCTAATTGGCCCAAAAAGATTTGCATAACGTAATTGCCAGCTGGCAGAGATCGCGACTTGGCATGACTGGGCTGGGTCGTTGGGCGCATGCAATAACCAAAAACAATAAGCCCGTCCAGAATTATGCACAAATTATTGTTTAGGCATTTAAATTGCCGCAACAGTAGCGGCAGAAGCAACACAAAAAAAAAAGGGTTACGAGAAGCGAAAACAATAAAATGCCAGCTGAAGAAGCAGCATCGGTGGAGGCAGCTCGTTGTTATAATTATGTAAAAACAGTCTAAAGATTGACTTGACTTCTATGGCCACCAAACACTCACACACACCCACTCACACACACACCTGAGTGTGCATGCGAAGGCAGCATAAATTTAGTGGCAGCTGGGGCAGGGGCACGTTGCAACAACAACCTGGTAATTACCAGGCCTTAGCGGCAGCAACATTGTCTGTGTATCTTGGCGCTACCGTTCGCTACATAGCCCCTCCCCCACCATTCACCCCCTCCACCCTCGGCACTCGCACGCAAAAAATGTAAAGTGAAATATTTTTAAGGCACTTGTAGGACAGTGCAGGTGGGCAGAGCAGCGGTACCATCAGATGGGTGGGTCCCAATTCGCCGCTGGCTCCCATCCACATCTCGATCCCCAACTCCCCTAGTTACCCACGCCGCGTTCTATGCCGAACTTGAGCATTTTTCTGTGTAGCTACATATAATTAAAAATAATATGAATAGAACAGAAAACACAACAGTAGGCTAACAAACCAGGGCTTCAGGGAAGATTCTGCGAGGCTGCAGTTGCGCCACGGATACTCTATAAAGCGAAGTGATGGAATATTGCATGTTGTATCCACAGAACTACTACCAAATATTTTGGGGGTAATTAACACTTTAGAGCGCTCAAAGAAGCAATTGCCTACTTTTAGGCCAATTAACATTTAAGCATCTACGTATGACTGCTTTCATAGCAGTTTTTTAAGTAATCAACAACATTGTTTTATATTTTCCAATTTTTAAGCTGATTCAAATATTCATGAGCCTATGTGCCGTAAGTGTGGTAACCACGGGTTTTGGTAGCCCTATTTAGCCCACTTGGGGCCAAGAGCAGCTAATCCGGGCAACGAAAAAAGGGCGCACAAAAAATCGTCAAACCGAATGCAATTTGGCAACAATTTTCCCAAAGTTAGCTGATGCCTCGTACCGCAACACCTACCGCACCGCTCCCTCGTCCAGAATGTGCCGCAAATTGCGGCGGCGCGTAATTAAAACAATTTGTGCATAATTTTTGTACAAGTGCAGCCCAAAGCCGAACCCAGGGCTCAGACCCTCCCCTTTGGTGGGCTTTTAAATAATAATTTGCTTAGTTTATGAAGTGCCTGAGTGCCTGTGTGTGTGTGTCTGAGTGGGTGAGCTTATGGGCTGCATAAGCAGCACCGCCAAGCCCCCAACCGCCCCAAAAACACCACCCCTTTCTCCCAGTTGTTGCGCACAATTTACTCACTTGGTTGCATTTTAACATATTTCGTTACGTTTTCAGCCGGGCCGGAGTCAATTGTTGCTGTTTTTTCAGTTGGCTGGCATGTATTTTTCATTTTTCATTTTCCTATGCCTTGTTTTTGTTGTGCTCACCTTAGGTTTAATTTGTTTGAGTTTCATGCAACTGCTGCTGCTGCTGCAGCATGTGCATCTGCCGCTGCAACTGCCTTCTTTCTCCCAAGTCGCAAAAATATTTGTGCACGCAAAAAATGTTAATTGCCACAGAGGCAGCAGAAGCAACAGCAACATCATCAGCAAAAAGCGAACCATCAATGCGGCCGGCGCATTAAAATATTTAGGTTGCTATTGCCGCTGCACCCGGCTCTCTTCCCAAGCCTCAAACTCCAACTCCGACTCCGAATCCGACTCAGAGTTCCAGACCCTGCCTCCAAAACGCAGACCCTGGCTGAAACGCAGCCTCCCCTCTTGCCACTTCGGCCGTTAATGCAACTGCAACTGTAACAAATTGCAATGTCGCACATCTGTCTTCCCTGGCGTTTGTCGCTGCCTAAAAAAGTTCTGAAAAAATGAATGCCAACATAAAGACGGAATGCGCAATACCCTTTTCTCAAGACACAAAAATATTAGTTTACAAAACTATTAAAGCGTTTTGCAGCTGTTACTGTCTTAAATTAGTTCAAAATCTTATGTATAAACTGATTAGGAAAGTATTTACTGCACAAGGTTTTTATATTTTTATATATGACCTTTAGAAAGTGTATTTAAGCCATAAAATAGTACTACAAAGCCAGGGCCCAAAGAGCAGGAGATCTTAGAGCAGCTTGAGGTCCAGAACGCCGGACTCATATTTATTTTTGCTAAAAACTACAGAAAAAATTGTCGTTTTCCCCGCATTTGTTTTTGTGGCTATTGCTGTCGTCTTGCTCGTTTTTTTTGTTTTTTGTTGGATGGCATTGGCAATGCCAATTACCGGTGGCCGGGAACCCTAGCAATTTGGCCATATCCGGCCCCCCTGGCAGCGATGTTCTGCTGGGCCGAAAGGAAAAATCAGGTTTTTCCTTCACTTGTCCAACTCAATGTTGAACCAGCTTGATTTTCGCTACTATTTTTCTTTCCCCACCTGATTTCGATGTTTTTCCCCCCTCCGCTCTTCCTGTTGCCATTCCTTTCCGCAAGAGTGTTTTAAATTTAAAGATAATCAAATGTAATAGCAAATAGATTCAATTTGCGCAAGAAAGCGGCCAGTTTGGATTGCGATTTCTATGCATTTGGGGTTTGCGAATCGAGGGTATTTGAGCCAAGACACCTTGGCAGTCATTAGCCACTTTTAGTTGCCTGATGATCATGGCTCTTACTGCAGTTGTACCTCGTTCCTCTGAGCTTTTTTGCTTTTATCCTAACTAATGAATATGGAACTTGAGTCTCTTGTCATGTTGTGGCTGCGGCTATTACAAGATTTGAGTTGTCGCGCGTTTTGGACGCGTCATGCGGCCAGTTTCTTGTTGTGCCACACATTGCCGCACGATCCCGAGTTGGCAAATGTGGCGCGCAGCATTTAAACAGCAGTGGCAACAACTGGCAACAAATACAAAAAAATGTCATAAATAAATTGCTTAGCAACATTTGCTGACGCGCCAAATAAAATGCCATAAATGATCGAATGCAGAGGAAGATTTTAAGTTAGACACTAGAAACGCTGATGAAGATGGAAGCGGAGATGGAGTTGGAGTTGGAGATGGATATGAAGATGGCGATGGCCATGGAGACTGAGATGGCGACAGGAATCTCGAATGTTTTTCCTGTTGGGTAAATTAACTTAAAAATGCTACAAAAATTGTTGCTGATGAGTTGGCTTATAGGGTTGATGAATGCCAGGCATTCTATTGTGCCCATTAATGTTGCTGCCGCATGGCCAAGAACGAGAAGAAACCGCTCATGCTATCCCTAATGACTTAGGACACACCATTAGTTGCATCAGTCGCCGCTTGCGGATTCGAATTTGGCCAGGTTAGGAGCTCTTGCTTTTTCAGCTAAATGCTTCTCTCTTTTTTTGCTTGTTGAATTTTCTCCTTGATTTTCTGGCTATCAAAACAATTTGCCATCTAGCACTCACCTGTGGCATGCCACAATGCCATTCAACAACAAAGTGCCAACAACCATGGAGTCGCAGACAGGCCAAAATCTCACGATAAACGGGAAGGTCAACTTCAGAAATGCCCTGCCAAATATCTTTAAGCTCTGAGTGGCACAAATGGAACATTTAATATAAATGCTCTTTAAGCTTTGAATGGCATAAATGGAACATTTAGTATCGAATACCTAG